AGAATGAATTTTGTCAATATAAATCATATGTGATGAAATACATATATAATCACATGTAATTATACACACGAGAACAAATATTGAATCAATTGTGAATAAAATGGGTGGTGGGTAGTGGTGAGTAGTGATAGGTGGTGGGTGTTGGGTGGTAGATGGCGGTGGTGGTGATGGGTGATGGTGGAGGGTGGTGGCGGTAGGTATTGGGTTTAATCGCATGTGATTATATGTATTTAATCATATGTGATTTATTTGGAAAAAAATTGTTTTAACGAATCTTGTTTATATAAATCATGTGATTAAATACATATAATCATACGTGATTATATGTATTTAATCACATGTGATTTATGTCATTAAATACATATAATTACACAAGGTTGTATGCCATTATATGTATTTAATCAGATACAATGTTAGTGGTTGTAGGTAGTGGGTGGTGGTCGTGTGGTGGCGATGGGTGGTGAAGGTGGGGGTGTGGTGGTGGCGGGTGGTGGTGGTGGTGGTGGGTCGTAGGTGATGCCATTATAATATAATGTTTTTTATGTTGGCGTCTTCCCCAAAGCAATGTCAAGCTTCTCCCTGGTCATGTGACTTGTGTTCAACGCTAGTAGTTTCATGCCACTATCCCTTTGTTTCTCACACTCTCTTTCGGAAGGAATTTGTAAATTTTTTTTTCCATTCTTTCTTTTATACCCTTCACCTCGCCCCCTCTTTTTCAAGTCATCTGAATCTACCGCTTTGCCTTTGTCTTTACGTTTTTGTTTTTCCCTTCCCATTGGTCAATAAAGTGGTGTAACTTGAACAGGTTCATCATCGTTGATGTCGATCCCAACACGAGCATTCGATGTAGTGTGGTCGGATTCGGATGTTATGGAGCATTTTGAACCACTATTGATGTGCTCGTCAGATATTTTGCTCTTTTTTCATTTTTGGTTTTCTTTCACGACATTACAAAACTCAATAGGGTTGTAAACGAACCGAACGAACACGAATGGGGGATTATTCATGTTTGTTTGTTTAAGTTAGCCAAACAAATGAACGAACACAAACGGATAAACCAACGAGTTTTCTTGTTCATGTATGTTTGTTTAACAAATTATATTGTCTATGTTTGTTCGTTTATGTTCATGAACATGCTAAACGAACATAAACGAGCGAACAAAAATGAACAAAAATAAACAAACATAATTGAACATACTTGAACATAAATGAACATATAATTGAGTAATGTAATCAAACACAATTAAATATATATGAACATAAAAGGAACTTATATGAACGAACATAAACAAACGTAAATGAACAACATAAACGAACGTTCATGAAAAAAAATTAAACGAACAAGTCCATTGTTCATGTTCATTCGTTTAACTAAACGAATGAGAATTTGTGTTCAGTTCATTCATTTATTAAATAAACGAACATAAATGAAATTCCTGTCGAACGGTTCTGTAATAACCCAATTTTCAAAAGACATTTTTCATTTTTAAATAGTCAAAAACATTTCCAATAAACCATAAAATTTTAAGTACATTCGTTTTCAATTCATAACATCAACAATATTATTCCAAACATCAGAGTGTCCCATAAAAAACGTCTGAGAGAGAATGCATGCCGCACCATCAAGCCTTGACCTTGACCTTGGGCTCGGAAGTACCTGGAATAATCAACAAACTATAAGCTAATGCTTAGTGAGTTCCTTAGAGCATACCCCACACAATCCACATAATCACATAATCTATATTAGCTATAAAAGCTACAATAACTGTATAATCCATGCATACACATATAGGGATGCCCTGGAAACCCTCTAGGGTTTTACTCCAGGTGCCATGGGAACTCCCACATGGTCTTAGCCCACTATCATATAAATCAGACATACAAACATATCAGGATGCCCTGGAAACCCTCCAGGGTCTTACTCTGGGAGCCATGGGAACCCCCACATGGTCTTAGCCCAGGAATGCCATGGAAACCCTCCAAGGTCTTACACCCAAGTGCCTTGGGAACCCCCCGAGGTCTTTACTAAGGATGCCATGGAAACCCTCCAAGGTCTTACACCCAAGTGCCTCGAGAACACCCCGAGGTCTTTCATGCAAGTACTACAATCACAACTAGCATACCACATATCCCATAATCAACTAGCATGTCACATAACAAATAATGGGCCGACCTTGGTACCTTAGACCCATTGGTATGGTGAGGAGATTTACCTCTCGAGAATGTTGAACTGACAAGATAAGATCGGATAAGTCCCAACGCACAACTCCAACTCAGCTGCCTATAATCATCATGTGATTAATTTTTCAAAATCCCAAATACCATGAATACCCTCAAGGTCAAACTTGGTCAACCCTGGTCAAAGTCCAAGTCAACGGTCCAAGTTGACCCCAACTCGTCAAGCGCATCCATCAGCTCGCCGAGTTGACTGAGTAACTCGTCAACTCGCCGAGTTGCCTGAGTAACTCGTCAACTCGCCGAGTTACCTGAGTAACTCGTCAACTCGCTGAGTTACCTAAGTAACTCGTCGAGTTCCTTAATGTCCAAAAGACCGAAAATTCATGTAGACCGCAAACTCTAATCCTTCACCGAAATCACTCAGAATCTCAAAAACGGGTAAACCCTAACCGACTCGTCGAGTTGGCTAAGCAACTCGTGGAGTCCCTTCAGTCCTTTTTGTGTTCAGTCCTTTCCAGTGGAAACCAAGGCTCCAAATTACAGATCCAACCTCTTATGGTGTAGTTACCACGTAAAGTTGCAAACTTTACGTGCATGCAAGGCCTCCCAAGGCTAAAACACTAAAACTAGGGTTCAAACAACACTTAGGACATGGAAAAGGGCTTAAACTAGGTAAAGGAAGCAACTTTATGTCATGAAAGACCTAGAGGTGTCCAGATCTGGAACCACATCCTCATGACAAGTCCAAATCCAAGTGTGACACCATTTTGCACCAAAAATGACCCTATTCTTCCATAAAATGAGATCTAAGCAAAAAGAGATCAAGGTAGCAACTTTTTACCTCTAAGTGGATGCTAACAACATGTAGATGCCGGATCCAAAGCCTTCTCCTCACTTCAATCTCTTCAACCTTCAAGTTTCCTTCTAAAGAGCACAAGTTCCACTCTCCAAGGCTCACACACACTCAAAAAAGCACCAAAATGCGGCTAGGGTTTCTGTCTGGACTGTAAGAACGATGAAAGAGGATACAAATGAGCCATAAGTTCTTTAAATAGGGTACTAACCCCTTAAAATTAGGGTTTTCCTTTAAAGTGCCTACTCGTCGAGTCGGGGCCTTCCGACTCGTCGAGTAGGATCTAAATCTCGCGTCCTCATAAATGATGTCTACTCGACGAGTTGGAGCTCCCCAACTCGTCGAGTCCTAGCACAACACCCTAAAAACTTAGAGAATTAAATGATACCCGGAACAGGCGTTACAGGTTCACGAACAGTTTGTTGAACGTTCAGTTTGTTTACAACTCTAAAAGTCAATAATCTTGAAAACCATCTTGTTTTCTTTATATATAAGACACTTTTAGAGCTTTCTTCAAAATCATTTCATCACTCTTTCCACTTTTCCATTAACGTTTCATGTTGTTATACAAATCATTAAACAACATGACTTCCTTGTTTGTTTTCCCTCATTTGGAATACACTTGGTGTTTTGAACAATATTATTTACACTTCATTCCTTTATAGACCCTTTTTGTAAATGGCCTCCAAAAATGGTCATATTTTTCGTCTTTTCCAACATTCATATCTTCGGAAACATCAATCCATGCTTGAGCCAATGCTAGCACCTCTTCGGGTTCCCATGATTTGGTCGCCACCTTGTCTTTTCTTTTATTTGGTGCTTGGGTGGGTTGGGTTTCTCCAACGATTTCGGGTTCAGAATCGGAAACGGGTGCTTGAGTTTCATTAACAAATTCGGGTTGAGACAAAATAATCAAACAAATTAAAATCAATGTTAGGTACGGTTTGTGGTTGTGGGTGTTGTTGTGAGTATCGTGAGAATTGTTGTGAGAATTGGTGTGGATAATACGATAGCATACCGCCGTCTTAATAAACCAGGGGCGAATAAATCGATTGATCATAAGAAGAACCTGGGGTGTTTCTAGTGGATATTGATTTGGTTGTTTGGATTGTTGGAAGAAGACATCTTAAGAGTTTTGAAAAGAAGATATTGAAAGATAGAAGAATTGAATTTAGGTGTGATAAATTAAGGGTTGTAAAGTTTTATTTATAGGTAAAAAATGAAAAAGAAAATGAATTTAAAGAAATTTGACCGTTCAAACTTCGGAAGAGAGAAAGGAAGAAAGAGAAGGTGCGACCATTTCTAGCCACGTGCAGCCAAACCACATTGAAGACCGCAAGGTGGGACAGTGTTCCCCCACTGCCACTGTGACAAACCACAAGGCTTATCGTGCCCACACCCCCAAGCCTTATAAACCTCAACTTTAAAGTAATATACTTCATATTTGAAATATAAAACTTATTAATAAACTAATTTTATAAATTATAATGATTCAAAACTAAATAATACACAAACAAAAAACAAATCATGATGTCGTAAGAAACTAGTTTCATCGTTTGACCAAAAAGGAATATCTCTATCGTGGAAGTTAGGAAGTGTTATTGTTTATGATCCCCAATTTTCTTATAACAAGACTGAAACTTTGGCGTTCATTTTTTGTGTTTTAGCTTCTGTTATATGATATCGAAGTTGAGTTTGAGTACGCAATATTTCAAAGTCGGCCAACTTGAAATCACCATAGAAATATACAAGTATTATTTATGCCGCATTGGTTAAATTATCTAATTGTCCGTTTGCATATAACACTACAGTAAGTACAAACTTCAATCCTTTCTTTCCAAATACACAAGTCCAAAGCTTCAATTTTTTCGACAATACCTATATATCAACTTAAAACAATACCTATAGATTATCAACTATTTAAGTTGAATAGGAGTCGAACGAAACCTTGCACACAATTTACACAACAATGGCACAACTAAATCTTCTTCTACTCTTGAAGTTATCTTTAATTATATTAGTAGCAGTAACTTCTGTGTCTGGAAAACATTTCCGAGCAGCCAAGTTGGGCGCTAAAGATAGATTTATGCCCACAAAAGTTGATCCTGGAAGTATAAGCGACTCACAACAATATGAGGTTTATAACTATACGCAAACATTGGACCATTTCAATTTTAATCCAGAGAGTTACACGACCTTTCAACAACGTTATGTCGTGGATAGTAAGTATTGGGGTGGGCCCACTAACAATTCCCCTATTTTTCTTTATACGGGTGAGGAGACTAGCATCATGGGAGATGTAGAATTTGTCGGGTTTGTGCGTGTGCTTGCTTCTCGATTTAAAGGTCTTGTGGTCTATATTGAGGTATATATGTTTCTGTGTCAAATTATTTTCTTATTGTGTAGTAAACATTTTGTGGATTTATGACTCGTATATGTATTTGTAGCATCGTTATTATGGGACTTCCATGCCATTTGGATCTAAAGATGAAGCATATAAAAATGCTAGCACTCTTGGATACTTTACTTCGGAGCAAGCTTTAGCTGATTACGCTCAAATAATTATCGATGTTAAAAAGAACAACTCAGCAGAAAATTGTCCTGTCATAGCTATTGGGGCATCATATGGTGGAAGTAAGATATCATAGTTTTTTTTTTTTTTTCTCACTTAATAGTTAGTATTGGTAAACACAGAGTGGTATCGATTTTTTTTTCTCAAACCATATAGCATATCAAGTATAGTTGGTATATAAAATTTATTACCACTACTATAACAATATAATTGTACCAATATGTTTGGCTACCAACAAATTTAATTGGTACAAATTAGTAATGATAATGCCAACCTTTTTGTAATTTTTTCTATTGTAATATTAAAGACCAGTAAATACATTGGGTAATTTCTATGTTTATTAAAAAATGAATTATGTATTTTTTATAATTTATTAAAGAATTCTGTTAAAGTAACATTTTAATTTATTTTAATTTAACATGATTTGTGTTGAGGGACCTTTTAAGATTGGAGAAGTTTTTTAAATTTTAACTTTTTTGTTTTTATACGTTGGATTTTTTTTTTTTTTTTAAATTAGTATAAAGTACAAGACTTCAAATGAAAGAAAGGACTATGAATGATATTTTGTGTTTTTGGAAAGAAAGAAACGGAAATATGAATTATTGCATTAATTTAAGCCCACCCAAGTTTGTAGTCTTCATGGGCCCACCCAAGTTTGTAGTCTTCATGGATGATGGATCCACCATATGTTACATTTATATCATTAAATTTTTATATTTAAAATGGGTATATGTCAAATCTTAATTTTCCACAATAGAGAAAACAATCGAGTCTTACTGTCAAATCTTATTTTTGCACATAAGTAAAAACCATATGCCGATGGAATTCTCACGAAATGAAGACTCTAGAATATACGTAGAGTTATATCCTAATTCCACAAAATTTAAATTGCACAAAATTCAATCATAGGGTGATCTGTCTATTCAGAACAACAAATTATGAATAATTTTTTTAACCTTCTCTAGTAAATGAATACTTTTTATTAAGTAAAAACAACTTCTTATATATACTTTTTATTTATATAGTTTAAATGAAAAAAAAACATTTAATTGCAAATATACCTTGTTTATAAAAATAACTTTTATTCTCTCAAATTTAGTGCTTGCTTCATGGTTTCGCATGAAATATCCACACGCTGCTTATGGAGCATTGGCGGTTTCAGCTCCAATCCTCTATTTTATGGGCCTCACTCCTGAAAACGGTTATGCTTCTATTGTTTCAACAGATTGGAATGTAAGTAAAACCCAATGTTATTTCATTTGAGTCCTTTTAAGATGTCTTTAGTGTCACAAAGTATACAACTTTTAATACATAGAGTACAAGCACCACTTGCTACAACACCATAAGAGAATCTTGGTTCGAAATTGATCGAGTTGCTGCACAGCCCCAAGGCCTTTCGAGCCTCTCGCAAATGTTCAACACTTGCATGTACCGATTCTAGCCATTTTTTATTATCATTCTGCTCAAATATATTTTTGTTTTCTAACATTATATCCCGGTTTGAAGGCCGTTGAACACAACACAGGATCTTAAATACAACTTGGAGGGTATATATGACGTTCTTGCTCAGTATGATAACCCTAAGGATAACTATTTACAAACTTTTTGTAATGCAACTGGAGAAAAATCTTACATTCTCGACAAAATCATGGCCGGAGTTAGTGCAATATATGGAACAATTTGCAATGACATATATGATATGAGCTTCGACAAAAATTTTGGTTGGGATTGGCAGGTATATATGCTATCAAATATTAATTTACTTTGTAAGATATATATGAAATACAACATTGATTTACCCTCCGAAAAGACATTTAAGAGATTGAAGGACTTCAACATATATAACCACTTTATAAGACTATGTTAACACATTAACAGTTTTTAAACCTAGTTGTGACACCTTATTAAGTCTATCATTAACCTTTACTAACTATTTTTTTTTTTTTTTTTTTTTTTTTTTTTTTTTTTTTTTCATAACAAAGTCATGTACAGAAATGGTAATGCCGATGGGACAGGGAGAAAATGATACAATGTTCCAAGCAAACCCTTTTGATTTGGATAAATACACCAAGGAATGCCAACAAGTCTTTGGTGTAACCCCAAAACCTTACTGGGTACCTATAGAATTCGGAGGTTATGTATGTCAATTATCTCTTCATTCATTCACTATATTGTTATTAATTTGTAGTTTAACCATTTTATATAATAAATCTTATAATTGCGAACACATATTGTAAATAGGGTATAAAAACTGTGCTTGAAAAGTTCGCAAGCAACATTATCTTCTCCAATGGTTTAAGAGATCCATATAGTTCTGGAGGGTATGTTTTCAACCTCTCATGGTTCCCATGCTAAAAACATGATTAAGATTCTAAGTTTTCTTATTTGTTGCAGCGTTCTTCAAAACATATCAGACACGGTTGTCGCAATATCTACACAAGAAGGTAAATTGCTTTTTGCATTATATATTTGTTTCGAATAAAAAATAAAATAAATAGTTGAGTTACTCGATTGAATCGTCGCTTATATCAATTGTCTTGGTTTAGTCCCGATAATATATCTTTTTCATATTGTCATGTGCTTTAGGACACCATTGCTTGGACATATCAACTCCAATGGCTACGGATCCGGACTGGCTGGTTCAACAGAGGAACACCGAGATCAACATAATAGAAGGGTGGCTCTCAAAGTATACTGTCCCTAGTGCTAATTAGCGACAAAAAGATTTACAATCAAATATATCTAGAACAAATCTCTTATCATTTATACATCTGGATCTGGTGACTATTATTGAAAACTTATTGAGATTTCTAACTCTTTTTGTTGTAAAACATAAGTGTGAATCAAAGGATACAAATTATATATATATATATATATATATATATATATATATATATATATATATATATATATATATATATATATATATATATATATATATATACCACCTCTTTTAAAAAGCAAGGAAAGTGGATGGGGGAGTTTTAATGAGGATTTTATGCTGAGGATTTTTCTTGTAATTTTGATCGATTTTAGGCACTCCCTTCAAAAGAAAGGACAGATATATTCCTCTAACTCATATCGGGTCGGATATTTTGATTTTGGGTCGGGCCCATCGCTTGCTCATACGCTTCTGGCTAATGTTCATGGTGGGTTTTCTTCTAGCTTTGCAACATCCTGCTTCTAGCCTTGCCAGATGTCATTCTGCCACGTTTTTCCACCGATCTCCTATACCATCTCCTCTCTTCCTTGTTCTATTCTGACATCATATGTGAAATACTCATCTCTCTTCTTCTTCACTCTTCCACCATGGCTACTCCTCCCAGTCATCGGTACCAAAAACCACATCTTTTTTCTCCAGGACAGCATAGGTCGTCGCCTGATCTTTGGCCTTATTCTCTTTTCTACCACGACCAACCGTTATGAGTTATTTTAATTGCAAACAATCTCTCTTCTTCTTCATGCCTCATCCTTGTCACGGGCTGAGGCGAGAGACTTCAAGGTGGGTTTTCTTCGCTTCCCCCTTAAGCTGCTTCCCACCTCTGCTTCTCCCTTTACCGCTTGATTGCGGATGAGTCACCGTCGGGATTTCGTTCTTGACGACACACGTGCTTAGTTTGAAGCGTATGAATACTTTTAAGTCAACGCCTTTATACGAATCTAATTTAGGGTTCTTAGCACTGTGTCACATCCTTTTTTCATCTTCATTTAGTCGCGCTTTTGTAATTTGAGAAAAAATTGGCCGATCACAAAAACAGGTTAGCCATCTCTTAGCTTTTGTGATAACTAGGGCTCATTTCTTTTAGATAGTAAGTGTAAACTCTCGAATTCTCTCCATCTCGTCGTATTGTCAAATTCATCACCATTACCGTTTCCCTTTTCAATTGACTCTACGTAACATCAAGCATAACAACAAAAGATGCAAAGTTTTGAAATTTACTGCCTTTATTTGTTGAAAAATGGATAGGTCGGTGGTCCTGGTTTGAAGCTTGTAGTAGTAGGAATGTAGGATGGGTTTTTTGAGTAAAACGTCAATAGATATTAGGTTTCTCAACATTTTTGCTTCAAAAAGATGAAATATAGTTTCATTGTCAGGTTGAAAATTTTGAGACAGGAGACATCGCTTGGGGTGTTCTAATTTTGTCTAACGAATTGAACTTAGAAATCAAAGACGACTCCTCTTGCCTTCCCGTGTTAACCCTAATCCTTCTATTATATTCAAGTTGTTTTCTTCTCTTTTGATATCTGTTGTTGTAGATCTTGAAACAATTGAGCAAAATTGTTGTTTGTGTTCCTGTGTAGGACCATCGATTATTTTCTCTGTAGAAGACCATCGTCTTTCAAATTTGGATATCGATCAGGAGATCTTGTAAGTTTAGTGTTCTTTTTCTACCCTTCTTGCAAATGCATTGTTTCTGGCTTTCTTCTCCAGATGTTTTTTGTTTACATTTTTGTGATTTTAGTCTCTTTAGTTGTAGCTTTTGTGTGTATTTCTACACTAATTTGAATTTTTTAAGGTATTTATTACATGTTGGATTTTTTTGGTTTATGTTTTAATTGTTAATGTATAAGATTACTCAAAGCGAGAAAGGCAGAGTTACAATTAATACAAGTTGGGGATGTAACATGCTTTATGTCACTAATTTTTTTTCTCATATTACGATATCCATTTGTTTGTATATATATCCATGGAGCTTGTGCGTGTTGGTGAAGCTTATTTTATGATCAGAAATGATAATTGAAAGATGAAGTTTCAATATGAAAGATGAGGTAATCATATATTAGTTTCGATTAACAAAATTCCTGAAAAACGGCTTGAGATCGAGAACTTTGCAATACAGGTGAGTGATAAAATGGACCCAAACAAACTGATAAAGTTGGTTGAAATCTTGAATCCTCATAACAAGCATGGAAGAATCGTGATGATTTCACGAATGGGAGCTGATAACTAGGGCCTTCAAATTTTGAAGGTTTGCTCCTTTGTGCTATAAAATTTTGGGTTTATAAGAATATTTTATGTGCGCCTGTTCTATTTCAGTTTTAAACTCAGAAATTTTCTTTAAGTTTCGAAGGGTTAAACATATGTGATTTGTTGAGGGTACCATATCAGTAAAGAATAAACATCAATTTAGTTTGAATTTTCTCAAAACATAAAAGCCAACTTTTTAGATCTTTTAACATCCTAATTAGCTGCAACATGTACCGGGAATGGAAAATTTTAATTACCTCATGATTAAATTGCTAAACCAATATGATTTGGAATTTAATGATACTATAATTGAACATTTGTATATTGATGTCATGGTTTCCTTATTATGCCATCTTTTTCACTGTAAGAGTCATCATTGCTTAAAAGAACTCAATATCTTAATCTAGAGTTACATTTATGCACACACATCCATGTAATTTCTTGATTCTTTATGTTTTTATTCTCGATCGAGAAGCACATGCTGCGTTGTGTATGCCTATCTTTGAAGTCCTAACATGTATGTTGTTTTTGGTTGGTGGTATGTGAGTACAGGTAAAACTGTCTCTCACAATATCCTTTATTTTGAAGCTGGAGACAACCTCTCTCTTTTTTCAAGGGTGTGCTCGACTGTGAAATGTTTAGGGATGTGGACATGGTAATACAATATTAATTTATTAGAAGCTTATATAATATACCCTTTTCACCATTTTATATTTTTTAATCTATAATAATGACTTGTTGTTGGTCGACTAAGTAGGATGTTACTGAGAGTGTCTATTTAAAGCAACAAATAATTTTAGATTTGGAGAAGTATTGTCGTCTGTAGTGCTTCCTTACAAGCAACACCTCCACAACGTTATTTTAGATAAGCATTGTACTTTTATTTTTACATTTAATGACGATATTGTTTCATTTTGTTACTTATAATAGGAATGTACTTCCATTTCTTTAAGAATAGCAACATACTTGGTTCAAATGGTGTTACTATTTTTTCCAATATCAACAATGTGCTTTATTTTTTTTGCGCACCATAATAACATACTTGCATTTCTTTATTCATAACGCCAATCATGTTCTGTATTATATTTAGAGTATTCGCCACGCTGAGATCAAGACATAACACTTTTAGAAGTCCACGTAGTTATAACATTTTACCTTAATCTTTTTAAATATTCGAATTACCCTTCTCGGCTCGTGCTTAGCACGGGCCTTAGAACTTTCCTAGTATATATATAAAACCAAGATCAATTGTGAATGGTAAAAGGTTGAGAATTTGGGAATGAATATGGACCATTGGTTAAGATATAGACAAAACTTCAAAAATGGTCCATGTAGTTTCACAAAATATGAAGTTTGGTCCCTAATTTACAAAAACCTCACGGATCGTCCCTGTGGTTTCAAAACTTTTAACATTTGGTCCTTCCGGCTCACTCCATTAACATTTCACCGTTAACTCATTTTTCAATATTATATTGCAGGGGCAATTTCGTCATTTTAGTGGTAACCTTCCCTTTTTAAAAGAAATTGCATGTCCGATTTTTTGGAAAACCCTTTACCTTTATCTGCGATCGTCATCCCTCTTCTCCCTTCCACTGTTGGTCGACCGTTGCACCCTTTACGACATCCAATCGCTTCTGATTCAAAGATGGTGACTTGCAGATGCGGGAATGAATCCTCCTATGTGTGCTAGGGCATTGGTGGTGATTCCAGGTTTGAAAGATCAATGAACCGATTGGAAGAAAGGGTTGCCATTGCGACTGCAGAATTGTGGAACTACCAGCTGATGTTGTTTTGTTCATGGGTGTTCTTTTTGGTTTTATTTTAATCTGTAAGTATCTTGTGAAAGTTTGGATGGTAATGGAGTTTCGGTTTTTGGTTTGTAACCGTTGCAGTTTTTATTTTATTTTAATAGAATAGGGTTTTTTTGCTTTCAGTTTATGTAAGGGGTTTTGGAATTGGTGTTGTTGTATTTGTTTTATGTATCAGATTAATGTAATGGAATGGTAATGGAATGTAGTTTGTTATAGTTGATTGTTGAATTTCTTGAACGTTTTTGAAATGCAATTGTTAAGTGTATTGTAAATGCATCTTTAAGATGGTTTTGATTTGCAATTGAAATGTACAATGTTATAAATTGATCTTTGAAGGGTAGTACACAAAACAGATTAATTCATTACCAAAATGTGCATACACACCTTTACATGCAAAGTTGTAAAGTTCTTAACACAACCATCCTACTAAGTTTCAAAACAAATAAAGATGACACTACTAAACATACAACCATTACATCTTCAAACAAGTAAACATGACTTAAGTTTCAAAAGACCTACAACACAAGCATCCTAATAACTACTAAACATAGTTTTCAGCCCCCTCCAACTTCACCACTGCCTCCGTGCCCTTTACATATATGGAATTGTGCCCTTTGTATGACACTTTGAACAAGTGACTGCCAAATATTTCATGTTCAATTTACCAGCTTGGCTGTTTGGCTCATCAACACCCCTCCGTCTCTTCTTCTTAGGCCTCCCAACCTACACATATTGATATACTATAGTTAAAATTGAATTCATTCCATGTTCACATGTATACTATATATTTGGTCTGCTTGAAATACAAACCTGTGTTTTATGTTTTGGTGGCAATAAAGTGAATAGGCAGTCACTTTTAAGCTACATTAAACGTCCATTCAATGGATCAATTTTGTTGAAATACATGGTTTTCCATGTCGATACACTACAAATA